AAATAAAACAAAATTCCATATAGCAACCCTGTCTTCCACTCACCTTCATTTACACTTAGGACATATACCAGGGTATCACAAGCTGTAGAAAATGTTTCTTACCATTACAGTCTTAGTCCTATTAACAACATAAGATCTCCCTGCAGAATAATGGTCAGAAAAGCACTGTCCCAACAGGACTCGGGGCAGATCCCATTCTTTCCAAGAGCAGAAATCCTTGAGCTCAGGTAGGATGAAGATACGTCAGAGGAAAATTATTTTACATATATTTTTTTACAAAAAATATATCAGTTATGTAAAATAATGTGTATGTGTATGCACACTCAAAGGCTCATTTCATTCTGTATTACCATTTCAGGGTGTTTATCTTCATTTCTACCTGATTTACAACTGACAGGTGCTACTAAAACTTTACAGAAACCCTCAGTTTCTGTCACTGCCACTGCTGCTGCTGCTAAGTCGCTTCAGTCGTGTCCGACCCTGTGCGACCCCATAGACGGCAGCCCACCAGGCTCCCCCGTCCCTGGGATTCTCCAGGCAAGAACACTGGAGTGGGCTGCCATTTCCTTCTCCAATGCATGCATACATGCCAAGTCGCGTCAGTCATGTCCGACTCTGTTCGACCCCATGGACAGCAGCCCACCAGGCTCCTCTGTCCACGGGATTCTCCAGGCAAGAATACTGGAGTGGGTTGCCATTTCCTTCTCCGTTATGTCACTAACAACTCTCAATTACTATAAAATGAGGACATTTTTCACATGAAATAAACATGAAAACTACACTACAAAAGCTAGATATTTAGGAAATACAGTGGTGAACTTTTTGGTAAAGCAAAAATAGTTTAATTCATAAATTACCATTCCCATAATGCATTCATTTATAAATATTTCACACATGAGGTTTTTAAAAAGTTTTATACACACACACACATATATGTTAACTGGTAAACATATAGATATTCTATACACATAGCAAGCAGTTATTATTTTACATATACAAACAGTAATACTAATTTTTATTATCCAAATGTTTTTATTTATATCAAATTGAAACTAATCTTACCAGTGCAACACTGCCACAAAGACAGCTGGAAAAAGAAAAAAAGGAAAAAGTCATTAAACGTTGCTTTATTATAATATGCCTTTAAAATGATTACTTAATAACTTTTAAAACAAACACTGCAATGTTGGAAGCTCCCAATCATTCTTCTCCAGCTCTTTTTCCACATTCTCACCATCCTGAGCTCAGTCCTACCACTCTTGAATATTTCTCAGATGTCTAGGTTTATGTCACAATCAGCAAACTATGGTCTATGGTCTGCCTGGTCTGTTTTGTCTGCAAGCTAAAAATGGTTGTTAATGTTTTTAAGGGTTGTAAAAAATAGGAAGGAAGAATAAATAACATAGACTATATGTGGCCTGAAGTTTAAAATTTTTACTACTTGGGTCTTTACAGAAAAAGTATATACTCACTACATATGTTAACTTTTCATCTAATACATATGTAATACTATAAACCACTTTAAAATTAAACCTATACCTTTCCTCTCAACTCAGATAAGGTTTCATTAACTCTAAGATAGACAATGTCCTACTCAACTATATTTGTATCCTCTTTCTTATTCTCAAGGCAATTACTCTTAAAAATAATATTTAAGAAAAAAATCAAATATCCTACTAAGTCCATCTAGCTTTCAAAAATCTTCAAAATATTAGTGTCTCCCACTCCCTCCCCTTAACCCACGTTCCATACCCAACAAAACTGTAAGGTGTAATTTGTCAATACTGTAAATGCAAAGAAGGGCTTATCACAGCTCCTTCTAAAGTTGTGATTAAAAGCTTGTGTCCTGTATCCTGCCTCTGTCAACTTCACCTCTGAAAGTGACCCAACCTTATACCTTACTGACACAAAGCCCATTTGACACAAGCACTCTCAACATCTCTTATATCCATTTCAACATTTCTCTATATAGTGATCTTTGCTTCTCTGTTCTCTACCATCTCAGAAGAGGAAGCATCTCCTCTCTTTTCTACTGATAGCTTCTCAAATTCATGCCTTTAGCTCCATCCTTCCCAATTATTCCAAGACTGCACCATCAAGTATTCACTCTCTTCGAACCTCAATCTCACCCTCTCTCCTTGGTCCTTCCCCTTTAGCCTTTAATATTCCCACGCCTTAAAATACTTCTCTTGATATAGTAGACCTTCCAACTACGAAATATTCTCTTCTCCATCCCCTGCCATGTCTGACAAGATGATCAGCCAACATCTTTAAAGTTCCTATAACTCTTTTAAATGACTAATGACCCTTCAGTTATCAATATCAACAGTCTCTTTCAATTCTCCTGCTTTTCAATCTCTCTGTAGCATTTCCACAGATCCTTAGATTTCTTTCTCTATCAAGTCCCATCATACCAACTCTGCCAGTTCTTCCATTTTCTGACCATTTTGTTTTTATATGCTTCTCTATCTGGTTTTTCTCTTTTCTCTCTTAAAGTATGCAGGGGTTTTCCCAAGTATCTTTACTTTGCTCTCTTTTCTATCTTGGAAATCTCACTCAATATTCATGTTTTGACTCACTTCTACATGAATAATTCCCAAATCTACAATCTTCATGCCTGACCAAATGTTCTCTCTTCCTCTCATCACATTCCTTTCCTCTTCTACCTCATCTCCTACCCAGTTGCTCTCAACATGTTTCCATCAACTTTCACCTCTGACTTCTCTTCTCCATTCCTACTTTCGCTTCCCTTCATTAAGACCACTACTGTCTGGGGCTTCCCTGGTCCAATGGTTAAGAGTCCACTCTGCAATGCAGGGACACCGGTTTGATCCTTGGTCCCAGAGGATCCCACATGCCACTGCAGAGCAACTAAGCCTGAGCACCATAACTATTGAGCCTGTGCTCTAGAGCTTGGAAGCTGCAAATACTGAGCCCACACATGTAGCAACTACCGAAGCCCTGGTGCCTAAAGCCTGTGATCCCCAACAAGAGAAGCCAGTGCACCCCAACTAGAGAAAGTCCACATGCAGCAACACTTATTACCACCAAAAAATAAAATAATAAATATTAAAAGACTGCTATTGTCTGGATTTTAGCATTCAACTGTTTTTTTCTACCTCAGTCCACATCCAGTCCATTTTACACACTGCTGTCAAATTAATCTCTCTGAAGCACACTTCTGATCATGTCACTCTATTTATGTCATTCAATGTCAACATCAAGAACATACTAAATGTCACAAAACTGTTCACCTTAAAAATGGTTAATTTTATGTTATGTGCATTTCACCTTGTTAAAAAACAAAATTATATTCCTAAAAAAAAGAATTCATCAGTGCCACCCTACTGAATGAAGTTCAAATGCCTTAAATGTAGACTTGAATTAGACTTCCCACGGCTGGTCCCAACCAATCTTTTGAACACTCTACGTTCTCTTTTTGTAACCTTACTTTTATTTCATATTTTCTTACTTCCATAGCTCTGATTATGCTGTTCTATAGGCCTCAAATACTTGTTCTCTGCTCCACACATCCAAATATTACCCTTTTTTGGTCACAATTAAAATCCTACATTTTCCGTAACTAGACATCTGACAAAATCTAAATATGAACCCCTATCTATTATTTCTCAAGTATTGTCTACATGCTCCAAATGTGGAGATCCATTCTACTTTAATATCAGCAACCAACTTATGATGGAAAAGAAATCACAGCTTACATTAGGAGACATCTATCTGTATTTGAATGTATAACAGCAGCCAGTCTGAGCAAGGACTAGGCTCAAAACTGATCTTAATGAAACAGCAAAATTTACATCTTCAAAAATTAGAAATGCAAATAAAGAAAAATCTTTCAAGGGCTTAAATAAGAAGGCAATTTAGGCACTAAGCTCCTCAGCAATATGAAAGAAAATAGATACCAACATGGGGAAATGTATTGCCTAATTTGATCCTATTTCTCCTGTGAAAGATTCTCAACTCATTAAAACCAACACATTATTTTGCTTCATTCAAGGTGCAGAAAAATATAAAGTCTGACATCCCCCTCCCCTTAAGCTACCCTATCATTTTCACTAGGGATAAATGGCTACCTTAAGATGACATTTTGTTGGTGACACATGAAGTTATCACTGTGCCTGCAAACCCTTGAAAATGTTTTAAAATAAGAACTAAGAAAAATAAAGTAAAATAAGAACTAAGGGGGCTCGGAATTCTTGTCAGCGATTTTCCGGATATTGGAACTCGCCATTATTGCTGTCAGACTTGCTTGTTAAACTGATATTCAAGATTCACGGAAACAACTTCCAACCCTAGGCTCAAGAGGGTCCACGGGTCTCTCCATTGTAAGCCTAGCCGCGCGGGAGTGCTAGTCCCGGAGCTGTCAGGGCTCCTGCAAGGGGTTTTCCTCGGTCATTTCCGCTCACCTATGCCGAAGGCCCCCTTGCCCGAGACCTGACGTCTTTGCAAGAGTTGTGCCTTGTCCCAGAGCTGTTCCAGAAAAGCGCGGAGAAACTGAAAGCGGCCATTCAGAAGATCGGTCTTTGTGACCATCTCTACTGGCACGCAATTCTGCGTTTTCAGGTTTCGGATCCTCCGCGGCGAATACTCCCGGGCGCCCCCTGGCAGGTTCCCCCTGCGTGTGGGCAAAGGCGGCTCCGGCCTTTTCACCTCCTCCTTGGGCTCCTCCTCCAACTCCAGCTCCCCAGCTCCTGTGGCGCGGCGCCGCCGCCTAGACTGCGTGGAGCGGAGAGAGTGCGACGGCTCTGAAGCCGCACCTCTGAGCTTATTCCTCGTTTGCCCGACCATTTTCTCATAGTCCCCGTTCGGATGGGGCTGGTACTCTCTCCGGCGCCGGCCCGGCCAAGTCAGGGAGGTCCGCAAGAGGGCCTGGCTCGGCTCACAGCCTCAACGACTCGCCGCAGCGCCGTTGCAGGCTGCCCGGTCGTCAAGGCGACCGCGAAACAAAACCCAGGCTGCCTGGCGCCGCTCGTGCGCCGCTCATGAGCGCATCCCCACGTGCGCTTATCCTGAGCACCCTGCCACGTGCGCCGCCCACGCGTTCAGCCCCAGGTGCGCTTATCCAGACCACCATGCGCAACCTCCCGCGTGCGCTACCACGCGTGCAGCCCCACGTGCGCAGGTCCTTAGCACCGCCCCTCGCCGGCCCTCCCACGTGCGCCCCCACGTGTCCATTCTGTAGTGAGCGGACTGCTCAGCGCCCCACGCACGTCTCCAAGCGCGTTTCCCAGCGCATTCTCTCACGTGCGCGGCTCAGCTGTCATATCTTGCTAGCGGACAAGACTGAAGAACTTTCTTCCTTTTAATTCCTTTCTTCGAGTTTAGCCTTAGCTTTGTTTTTGCCAAAAGGTTGTCTGTTTCAAGGTTATTAACAAGAAAGAAGATCTCAATGTTAAAAAGTAACCGTGGAGGGGGGGGTGGGGGGGAGCGAGGGAAGGAACCCAGAGCCTGTAACGCGCCTGGCACTTATTAGGAGCGTCTCTCTTCGCCTCCTTGGAATACTTGGCTGGTATGGGACACCTAGAGTCTATCTCCTACACCGAGGCAGTGGCCCGAGGCTGCAGGCAGCAGGTGGCATAGCTGGCATGAGCCGGGTGAGTCTAACGGCACAGCCTCAGGTTGAATGCGAATTCGGTGTTGTCCCCTCTGAGGACAGAGTTTATCCATCTATTCTGAAGTGAAATTGTGTCCCAAACCAGGTTGCTCAGAATTCCTCAGCAGGTGAGCGCGGAGCTGTGCTCAGCACTCTCACCTTTCTGAACCAGAAACCACATGGGGCCACTTAAAAAGGAGAAACCCAGAGTCTCTGCGGAGCCATACGCGACGCCACAGCGACTGGCAAAGATGCACAGGGACCTTGGCGCTTGTCTTGTCCTCTGCTCCCGGCCCTGAGGCCAGAGCCCACACCGCCTCACGTCCCATCTGTTTCCCGACGGATCCAACTCCCTAAACCCCTTTCCCCAGATCTGGTCTAGACGCCCTGCGGCTAGGTTAATTTCCCGGATGCCACACCGCTCAGAAATGCTCAGTACTCCCATTAGCCCATAAATAAAAGTTAAACTCCTTGGCTTGTTTATTGGCACCTTTAGTAGCCTGCCCCATCTACCTTTTCAACTTCAATTTCCCACGTTCCCAACACAGATCTTCCTCTCCAGTCATTCCAAGTGAGGTCTTCAATGTGACTCTTAACTACCCCTTTACTCATACCCTAAAGCCCTCTTGTAGCGTTTTCATCCGTTTTTGCCTGCCTCTTTAAATTCTGTTACGTTCCAAGCCCCATACGTTTTCTCCAGCTCAGGTTAATTTCCCTATTTTGCAGGTCTAAACCAGTTACTGACAGCATTATTCATCTTGTCACTTAAATTCAGTAAGTGTTAGTATTAATTTGCTGGTTTGTAAGATTTTTTTTCCCCCCAAGGAACCTTTCTATATTCCTGGCACTGTGTTTGCTGCTTAAAATGTTCACGCATTTAGGGAATTCCCTTACAATCCAGTGGTTAGGACCCCACTCTTTAACTGCTGAGGGCTCGGATTCAATCCTCACCCCGACCTCCACCTCCCCACCCCCCCACCCCCCCCCCCCCCGCCCCGCGAGGCTAAAAAAATTAACAAAATGTTTTCGAATTTAATTCATATAGTAACTATGAATTAGGAAACCATGGACTAAGGATTTAGTGATTTACCCAAGTTTTAACAACTGAAAAATTGTCCAATTCTGAGTTTAAAATCCAAGGCACTTATGGGTGGTTGATAAAAACATTATTGAAAAAATATGCAAACTCAAAAAATACCTTATTTTTTCATATGAATATTCTAATATTGTTTTTGGAGTGCTCTAATCAGATTATGTTTTCATTTAATGAAAAGGAAATTATAGAATTATGTAAGACATGAATGGGGTGTATTTGCACCTTTATGTATGTATTAGAGCATCTGGTTCTGGAGCCTTTTTATTTCTCTTTGATCTATCATTATTATTGGTGTATTTACAGGCTACTACTTCTGGTACCAGTTTGGGAAATTTATATTTGCCAACAGACATTTCAGGTCAACTGAATTATACACTCTTTTACCTGAAATCAATATGGTGATCTGTGCCTTTTCTAAAAAATCAGTGTTTTCCCAATTAATCTGTTTATTCGTCAACTCTGTGATTTTTTTCCTAGATGTGTTTAAGTTATATCTTGTTGAATATTTTCAAAGGTAATTTCAGGGTCCCTGTTGATAGATTATCTACTTAAGTGATTTTATGTTTTACATCTTTGTTTTTTTTGTGAGGAGTGGGTAGTTTTTTGGGAGCAAAGAGTGGCTGCTACTGGGATGTTGACCAAATGTCATTTTCAGTGACATTTTCTTGTATAACTCTGAACTGAAATTTCTGATTTTGGTCTTCTCTTCAGTCTATTTTGTCTGTTTCTTATGTTTCTCTCTTTGAGAGTTTGTTTCTTCCAGTTTCCTGTTGCCTTTTGGATCACTCCATGTGCAAACAGAATAAAGCACACGCTTACCCCTTGGTCTAGCCCTCAGAGGTTCAAATCTGGTCGTGTTCTCCATTTAAAAAATAATTTTTATGATGTTCATTGTACTATTATTTACATAAGTGAAAATTAGAAGAACTCCCATGTCAAACAGTGAATTACAGAATACCGATGATGGTGAAGCATCACTAAATTGAATAAAGTAATTTTAAATGAATATTTAACAGTATAGGAAAATACTTATAGTGTTAAAGGTGGGCTTACCGGGTGGAGCTAATGGTAAAGAACCTGCCTTCCAGTGCAGGAGATGCTGGAGATGTGGGTCGATCCCTGAGTCAGAAAGATCCTCTGGAGGAGGGCATCCAGTATTCTTACCTAGAAAATCCCATGGACAGAGAAGCCTGGCAGACTACTGTCCATAAGGTCATAAAGAGTTGGACACGGATTGAAGTGATTTAGCATGCTTATAGTGTTAAAGGTAAAATAAGCAGTGTATATATGATTCAGTGTATAGTAAACACATAGAATTAACTGTGTCCCATGGACTTCCCAGAGGAGGCAATGGCAACCCACTCCAGTACTCTTGCCTGCAGAATCCCAGGGACAGAAGAGCCTAGTGGGCTGCCATCTATGGGGTCGCACAGAGTCGGACACGACTGAAGCGACTTAACAGTAGCAGCATGGACTTCCCTGGTGGCTCAGATGGTAAGGCGTCTGCCTGCAATGCAGGAGATCTGGCTTTGATCCCTGGGTGAGGAAGATCCCCTGGAGGAGAAAATGGCAATCCACTCCAGTGCTCTTGCCTGGAAAATCCCATGGACAGAGGAGCCTACATAGGTTTAACATAGGAGTAACCCCATACATAGGAGTAACCCCATACATAGGAGTAACCCCATACATAGGAGTAACCCCATAGGCTACAGTCCATGGGGTTGCAGAGTCAGACACGAGTGACTTCCCATACTCTGCTCTAAATCTTTTACATAGAAGAGTCATATATGGAAAATTACCAGTGTGTGCCCTTTAGTTAGTAACCTAGTCACTCTAATATTTATCTCTTGATCTGAAAAATGCTGAAGCACCTAAAACATAGTAAAGCATCTAAAAGAGTACATGCTTACTTTTAAAATTATTACTATATCTTGGGGACTTATCTGGTAGTCCAGTGGTTAAGATTCCAAGCTGCCACTGCAAGGGGCAGGGCTTTGATTCTTGGTCAGGGAACTAAGATCATACATGTTGTACATTGTGACCAAAAAATAAGATAAAGATATTACTGTATCTTGCTCTAGAGTGACCATATTTAGAGTAATACTGATGAGTATTACCTCCAATTAATGTTTTGCTCATGTATATTTTTGTCATTGGTTTTATGTTAGTTCTATTGTTAAACAGTAATAAGAGTTCTGTGTTCACTACTTAACTGAGAAAACAGTTGGCTAAATGATTTTGCATTCTTTCAGTAAGGGGAGGGATAGATTGTGTCTGTGAGGGGAAACATGACACTCAGTTTTATTCTGTTGAACAGAATCTTGGCATGTTTTCATCTTGTATAACATCTCTAACAGTGTTCATTTATTTTGAGCTAGTTATTTTGGATACAGTTGTTGTAGTCATATTTTAGCTACATGCTTGTTAATGACAATGACTTAAATCAGTATTCCTGATACTTATTTTCTGCTGAACTGATAGTGCATTATAATTTTATATAATGCAATATATTCTTAAATTGTTTTTTCCTCTTTGAAATGAATATAATATGTGATTTAGCAAATTGTTTCCCTCACATAGAGATTTTCCCATCATCTATGTCTAAAACTTGTCACAGTTTTCTTTTAGAAAAGCCAATTGTTTCTCTTTATGCCGAAATGCAGTGAAACTGTAAAACCAGAAGATGGCAGTAATGACTTGTAAATCAGGATTTTAAAAATTAACAAGTTTTTAAGTTCATTTTTTTAGTATATGTGCTGCCGCAGCGAGCACGAAGTTCATTTTTTTAAATATGAAAAAAATCACTGTTATTGTAATATATCAGTTAACCAAATAGGAAATGTAGGGAAATTCCAAATTAATCCAACATAAAAATATTACATTGTATATTTCATATATCAAAATAATTAAGATATTCATCATGGCCAGTGTTCAGTTTTCACAATGATAATGATTTTGCTTTCAATGAGTCAGATATTTTTAATCAAGTTTAAGTGTTTTAACTTTGCATAGATACATAGATATAAATTTAAGTGGATAGATGAGTTACATCTATATCTAGCTTAGTTATATGGATCTGGAAAGATTGAGATAATTAAGAGAATATTGTTTTGAAAATGTTAAATTTTCCACATACAAGTTGATAATTTAAAATACTAATTTCACGTTAATAATATGCATACAAAATAGGGTTTTATTTGTGCTATGTCACAGTTTCTTATACATTACTTTTTTCCTCCTCTTTATGGAACCAAGAGTTGGAATTGGCATCAAAGTGTTTACCTCTAGCCTGTCATCATTAACTAGTCCCAAAGATGAGAGCAAAATTCTTAGGCTCTCATGATTATGCTAACTATTATTGAGCCACAAGATTTTTTCAGAGCATTTTGATTTAGTGATTTTATTCATTTCAATTAAGTTTTTAAAAGATAAACTAATGGGATTCATTTTCTATATTTTTGCAAGACTCCCTATAAATTCACAAAGATGAAAAAAATTCTGTTTATTCATGTATCTCTGTATTTGTTTCAAAAATAGAATAACCATAGACTCAGTTTTCTTGATGGCTGTTTATTTTCTGATTGGTCTGTTTTATATATGTTAAAAAGTCCTTTCAA